AAAAAAAAAAAAGCCGTGGGGAGACCATAAGAAATATTTTAAGTAATAAAAGTTCAGAAATTTCTAAAATTAGTTATACATACCAAAATGTGGATCCGGGAAGCTCAAGGATAACCAAGCAAAGAAAAACAATAACAACAAAAAAATCTACATTTTGGCATATCCTCTTCAAATTCCAGAATACCAAAGACAAAGGGTAAAAAAATCTTGAGTTATGGTTTTAAAATAGCAATGATAACAACCAACCCTCTAAACTTATACCAGACTTCTTATCAGAAATCATGCAATTAAGAATGTGAAGTAAATAATTACAAAGTGGAAAGAAAAACAAACAAAAACCCCACCAATCTTAGACAATGGATCCAACAGAATTACCTCCCAGACGTGAAGAAGATGGGGCCAGGCACCGTAGCAGACACCTGGAATCCCAGCACTCCAGAGGCTAAGGACTGAAATTGAAGCCAGCCATGGCTACCTATCAGGACTGTCTCAAGAAACAAAGTAATGGGTAAAATAAAGACCTCTCATACAAACTTGTCTTTTTAAAAGCTATTTGTGGTCACCTTTACATCTGTTATTTCATGAGCTATTTTAAAAATTGTTCAGAAGAGAGGAAAATATGTCAGAATTATGTGCTACATAAGAAAAGGATTATAATAGAAAGGGATGCCTGAGGATAAAATGTCAGTCTTCTTCTTAATGTTACATAACTGTTATAGTAATAGTAATCAGATACCAGGGGTCTGGGGAGATGGCTCAGTGCTTCCAGCACCCACAGGACATTTCAGAACTGTCTGTAACTCCAGTCCCAGTGATCTGCTGCCTACTTCTGACTTCTGTGGTACATGCTTGTGGTGCACAAACAAACATACATCAGACAAAACACTCATGTGCACACATACAAATGTTTTTATTTATCTTACAAGTTAAAAATCACAAACTGGGTCATTGAAGTACATGGGCAGTATTGTAGTACTTAAGTTGGGAGGGAAATTCTAATAAACTCTGGCATTGACTTTGCCTGTTAGAGTGATTCTAGTGTACTTAGTGTAAAGGAGAATAGGTTAGTTGTACATGTATACTGCAGTTGGTATAGCAGTCACTTAAGAGTTCAAACTGTTAAAGAGAACACACAGTCATGAGCACTTAATGAAAACTGAAGGCTGATGTGGCAGTCTCCAGGAAGCCTTAGCCCAGATTCTAGTCGTTGAAAGTCTGCATCACAGGCAAGATACCTCAACTTTCTCAAACCTAAAAAGCACACATCCTTCCTCCCAAGTGGCAAGCTTTTGTCCCTTATCCTTGTTTATTTGAATAACTCCAAACCTGATGTGTTTGGTCAGAACAGAAGTACATCTCAGGGCCAAGCGATGGATGAAGCTCCTTCCCCTTCCTCTGGGTAAAATGTTATGCAAAGAGGAAAAACTGCTAAGTATGAGCAAAGGCAATCCTCAGAAACAAAAAAGCAAAATGGATTCTTGGTGCAAAACTATTAGGAGGAGCACAGGTCACCTTGAGTCAGCTCCTTGGGGCTGTTTCTAAAATGTGTTCATGGGAGGCATGTCTGCTGAAGAATGGAAAACTGAAGACAGTGCAAAGGTGGACAAGAAAGAGGAATAAAAAGCAGCATTTCCCCCTAGAGGGGGAAATACACAGTAAATTCAGTGTGATGGAGAAAGAAAGAAGGAAAGGAAAGACAAAAAGAAAGCCTGAAAGGAAAATGGTGGGCTTAATTCCCTGGTGACATTGCAGAAGCTGGGAAGATGTGTGGCAGCAATGATACAATTTAGGGAAAGCCTGCTGAAGAGAAGGAAAAGGACAAGAGTAGTAGTGCCTACAGGGATAAGGGAAACAGGTTCAGTAAAAAGGAGAGCTATGAAGCTTTAAAATAGGAGGAAGATGGTTAATAATGAAGTGAATCTAGTTCAGTGTTTTCTTGTCAATGAAGTATTTAAACAACTCCCTTCAAAGAAAAAGACTGAAATCAAAGACTGTATAAAATTTGCTTTTAAACTCTCCAGCCCTTTGCTTTGTAATAGTTAACATACTACCTCATATGCCTTTAGACACCCTTTCCTGGAGGTACTGACCTCACCTGGTATGGTATAAAGGTTGTAAAGTCAAAGACTTTTTAAAGTGGGTTCTCATTGGTATACATCACAAATTAGCTCTACACAGGATGACACAGTTTGCATCCTCAGGTGTCATCACCAGCTCCCATGATAAGATGGACAACAGTTGGCCCTCCCATTGTTAGAAACCCCAATTCTCCGTTATCCTATACTTTCACTTAGCTATAGTCCCACGGTCCTTTGAAAATGCATGGATTTTAGAATGTATTGAAAGTACATTATAATAATCAAATATGCATGAAATGTGCAACTTAGTGCAGGACGAGTTACAGAAAGGAAAAATTTAACTGACTTCACCTTACCTTTTAGTTCCTAAGGAGGGTCTGAAGAGCCAAGAGTTATTTGATGAGATTCGAATGACTTATATCAAAGAGCTAGGAAAAGCCATTGTCAAAAGGGAAGGAAACTCCAGTCAAAACTGGCAGCGGTTTTATCAACTGACAAAACTTTTGGACTCCATGCATGATGTAAGTACCAAACATAAAGCCAAAAGAACAGCAAAAAAAGAAAAGCTAGGTTGGGTGTGGTAGACATGCCTTTAATCACAGCAGACACAGGTAGAGCAAGTGGATGTCAATGAGCTGAAGCTAGGCTAGTCTACACAGGGAATGCCAGGACAGTCTGAGACACATAAACAGAGCCTGTCTCAAAACCCAGAGACAGAGAAAGAAAGAGACAGAAGAATTTTGTAGGTCCTAAGGTTAGTTTTAATTAGTATATATGATATATATTATGTACCAGTCAGTCATCCCTTCCCTCAGTTTATAATATTATAGTGATTGTTGAAGATAAATAATTGTGTACACATTTCTCTTAAGTCTTACTAGTCTAGCCATTTGCATCAAAATTCCTATGTTAGTACACAGTTGAATAGCACCTGCTTTAAAGGCAGTATTATTCCCTGTTGTGCATGAATAAGCTATCAGAGTACACTGCTTTACCTTCCTTTCTGTCAGTACTAGTCCAGGCTGGCCTCACACTCACCTTCCTGTCTTATCAGTACTAGTCCAGGCTGGCCTCACGTGCCCAGTCTTTCTTGATCCTGCAGCCTCAGTCTCCCAAATGCTGGGACCACAGGCGTGCCAGGCTTTCATTCTGACACAGTTTAAGAAATTTAAAATGCCTTTTGTTCTTAAGCGCTTATTTTATTTAAAATATTTTTCTTTTCTGAGGAATTCCAACAACAATTGGTATATTTTTGATCAAATTTTTTAAAAGGCCCATAGAGCATGAATACAGGATGTATACCAGGTCTTCTGTGTATTGTGACTTCTAGTTTAGTGTTTTTGTGGGATTCCTGAGTATGTGAACCAATAGGTCCCTGAATCTTGTTCCTTCTCTTAGGTTCTCCTGTTTGTTTGTCTTGTCCGACAATATGATTTTTTATTTTATTTTGCTATGCTTTATTTTATTATTACCTCTTAGAAGCATGATCTTTTTAATGAGAGAAGAGGAACTGGTAGGAGTAGAAGGAGGGGAAGCCATAATCAGGATAGATTACATGTGAAAAGAATTTATTTTCCATAGAAGAAAAATTATGCCAAGACTTGGTGGAGGGGTCCAAGAGATATGAGCCATTCACAGTTCTGTTTTGAAGCCTCATCATTACCATATCTTCTCTTGCAGGTGGTTGAAAATCTCCTTACCTACTGCTTCCAAACATTTTTGGATAAGTCCATGAGTATTGAATTCCCAGAGATGTTAGCTGAGATCATCACTAATCAGATACCAAAATATACAAATGGAAATATCAAAAAGCTTCTGTTTCATCAAAAATGACTGCCTTACTAAGAAAGGTTGCCTTAAAGAAAGTTGAATTTATAGCTTTTACTGTACAAACTTATCAATTTGTCTTGTAGACGTTTTGTTGTTCTTTGTTTCCGTCTTGTTCTGTTTTAAATACGCACTACATGTGGTTTATAGAGGGCCAAGAGTTAGCAACAGAAGCAGCAGAGTCATCACTTTTAAGTGATAGGAAAGCAGACAATGAAGTGTATTGGTTGATGTATCACAGAAACTAGAACAGTTACGCAGAGGCTTGTCCACTATCAGAGAAGGACCGCACCTAAACCACCAGTGCCCAAAGTCCATGTGATCAACTTTCTGCTCATACTTTCAGTTGGCTGAATAAAATTTAATAGACTTCCTGTTGGTGTATTTTTCCCATGTATAGTTAGGGTAGCATTTTGATTTATGCATGGAAACCTGAAAAACATTTACAAGTGTATATCAGAAAAGGGAAGTTGTGCCTTTTATAGCTATTACTGTCTGGTTTTAACAATTTCCTTTATATTCAGTGAACTATGCTTGCTCGTTTTTCTTAAATAATTTTTGTATTCCAGTTATTGTACAGCTGTTGTAGATGGGCAGCTGCTTCACAGCTCTCCTAGATGCTAACATTAATTTTCGTGTGAAAATGGGTCGGTGCTTCTACCCTGATGGCACTAAGCTATCACAAGACCACAGAAATTGACTCGGATCTCCAGTATTCTTGTCAAAAGCTCTTACTCTGTATATATCTGCTTCCATGGAGAATTATATAGGTTGTGCAGATTAACCGTCCTAACTGGTGTAGAGCACCTAGTCCAGTGAGCTGCTGGGTAAACTGTGGATGATGATTACAAAAGACTAAGTGTAAACAGTAACTACCAAAAGGCCCCGTTTGCAGCTAATGCACCGTCTCTTCAGTGGTGAGACAGCAACAAAGTTTCTAAATCAGCTCTTTCAGGACCTTCTGGAGTGGTTTGTATAACATTTTAAAATGTAATATTCCAGATAGCCAGCTGTAATAAAACCGAGAGATTGTTTTAATCAGACCAAGTAACTTCTCTCGTTAAACTTTACCCCCAACTAAATCTCTAATATGGCAAGAATGACTAGACACCCATTTTCACATCCCACCTGTCACCAATTGGTCTAGCTTTCCTGATGGTACAGGAAAATCAGCTACTGATTTTTGTTATTTAGAACTAAATGTCAGGCATCCATGTTTGTCCAACTACACATCCCTACATGTGCCATAGGATTTAACACAAGTCTTGTGAACTTCTTCACACTGAGAATTATCATTTTAAACAAAACAGAAGCTGTAGTAGCCCTTTCTGTGTGCACCTTACCAACTTTCTGTGACTCAAAGCTTAACACACTTACTAAGCCACAAAAAATCTGATTTCTACTTAAGGTGGCCAAATTATTTGTGTAATAGAAAACTGAAAATCTAATATTAAAAATATGAAACTTCTAATATATTTTTATATTTAGTTATAGTTTCAGATATATATCATATTGGTATTCACTAATCTGGGAAGGGAAGGGCTACTGCAGCTTTACATGCAATTTATTAAAATGATTGTAAAATAGCTGTATAGTGTAAAATAAGAATGATTTTTAGATGAGATTGTTTTATCATGACATGTTATATATTTTTTGTAGGGGTCAAAGAAATGTTGATGGGTATCCTATATGATTTATAGTGTGTAAGAGCATCCAGACAGGCCTCAATGTCTTGGAAATTAAAACAGGTTTGCTCTAAGCTAGGGAGGGAGCTGGAGACTGGCCCTGTGTGCAGTGGCGGTTCTGAGGCTTTGACCCAATCAGATCACAGGGGAACTAATTCCCCACCTCCCATTCTAACCGTCCTCATCCAAACATGACCCTGTCAGTGCAAGTTTGGTTTATTAAATTCCCCCTTGCGCTAACATACATAAACAGGACAGAAAGGTGGCGCTTATGTAGTTATAGGCACCATCCAGTAACAGGGTTCTTTTCACATGCAGTCTCCCCACAGGTTAACAGAAACAGAGGCTTTAGAAGTTTGGCAATAATGTGCATAGAGGTACCAGCAATATGTAAATACTAAAGAATCGCATAGGAAGCCAATAATACACTAATTCTCTCCATCCTACAATAGTCCATTTCCAAGTAAGATGAGGACATGTTTATGTTTTTTTTGGAATAGTTTTTGAATGTTGTTATTTTCAGTATTTTGCAGAAATTATTTAATAAAAAAGTGTAATCATTTGCTTTTTGAATTCTCTATAAAAGGGAATGTTCAGTTTGTAATGGTTTAATTTGGTCTCAAAGTACTTTAAGATAGTTGTAACCCAGCTGGATGTGAAATTTATGGTGCCTAAGAAATACCACTTGAATATTATCAATGACAGTGTTAAATTTCAAAATGAGCTTCTCAAAAATAGATTATTGTACATTTATGGAATGTTATATGGTTAAACCCAAAAAGCACATCACACATAAATCTGCTTTCAGTCCCAACCAGCTTGGCTTTCAAAAATAGAGCTCCAAAAAAGAAAAAAAGGAAAAGAAAAAGATATATACGCTTTGTTATTAACAGAAGGCAATAGACATTCATAAAACTACTATTGTAAGCTTTCCACTAAATGTATAAAGAGCTATGCTCCTTTGGTATGTGGGAAAGAAGAAAGCTGTCATAATTCTGATTGAGTATAAGGGAGAAAGATACGGTACTGTTTGAGAGCAGCTTCCTTTTCTGTGTGCGGCTTCATACCGTTCCAAACTATTTAGATCTTACAATAACTTCAGTGAGAGTTGGTGACATGCCTGTATGACTCACAACAGATCTTGAAAACTATCTTTAATTACTGGTAGGACAAAAAGGGACATTCTGGTTATTTTAGGCATTGGCTTGGGATACTGTATATGCAGAAAAAAAAGAAGACAGGAAACTTGGGGAAGGGAAAGGACCTAGGAAGCACTGCCTTCTTTAAGGAAAAACAAACCAATAAGTGAGACCACCCCAAAGGCACAAGGGCCACATAGTGTGGAGTCCTTAATGATGAGTCAGGGTAAGCTCTGGTGAGCATGGAGAAGCCAGCCCCACCAGCACTTCAGAGCAGGGCAGGACAGAGATGGGACAAGATGGGACAAGAATTCCAGCTGAACACTGGTCCCAGTATTTTGCTCCCTCTTATGTACCGTGAGGCATCACCGTGGGATGAACCATGGTAGTATGCTTTGATCTGTCAGCGTTCAAGGATCATGGTAGTCTTCAGGAGCTTTAGATTTCGGTTGGACACCCCAACGATAAGCTGTAGTTGAATGTGTTTCTTATGTGCCTGGTTTCAGTGTTAGAAGGTGAAATGGAGTGTGCAAAAGACACTGCAAACCACTTCAGATGGAAGTTCTCTCATTTTCCAGACTGTTTTCAGTCAGCCCTGTCTATCAGGATTGGTAGCCAGGTTTTCAGGAAAGAGTTGGCTTCTATCTAGAACATGCCTGAAAGGATTTTATTTTCTGATAAATGGCTGTATGAAAATACCCTCCTAAATAACCTGCTTAACTACATAGAGATTTCAGTGTGTCAATATTCTATTTTGTATATTAAACAAATGCTATATAATGGGGACAAATCTATATTATACTGTGTATGGCATTATTAAGAAGCTTTTTCATTATTTTTTATCACAGTAATTTTTAAATGTGTAAAAATTAAAAACCAGTGACTCCTGTTTAAAAATAAAAGTTGTAGTTTTTTATTCATGCTGAATAACCTGTAGTTTAAAAAACTGTCTTTTTACCTACACAGTGAAATGTCAGACTGTAAAATTTTGTGTGGAAATGTTTAACTTTTATTTTTCATTTAAATTTGCTGTTCTGGTATTACCAAACCACACATTTGTACTGAATTGGCAGTAAATGTTAGTCAGCCATTTACAGCAATGCCAAATATGGATAAACATCATAATAAAAATATCTGCTTTTTCATTATGTGACTCCCAACATGCTTTCATAGAACTGTGCAGTTACAACCATTCTTATTTTTTTTTCTCCTCTTTCCACTCGCAGCAAAGTTCCCACTTGAGGAAACATAAGATGATGAGGTGGGCATGTAAATGCCAATGTGGCCACTAGTGTGTGCAGAGAGATGACATTTATTCAAAAGGAGCTTACCCTGATGCCAACAGCTCTAAAAGTCTGCTCACCCGTCTCCAGTGGTCAACATGCTTATGATTCCCCAGGATACTAAGCACAGGAGAAACTGACACCTGTAACTGCTTCAAATGTCACAGGCTTTATCCCAAATATGACATTTTTTGTAAACAAATTTTATAGTAAAATTAAGAGCTTAATTTAAAATCCACAGTGCTCTTAGAGTTACAAATAAGTAAATACAGCAAACATATAAAACAGAAGATAGAGGCATAAAAAGTAGCAATCATTTATCTATACACTGTATTCAGTAGCTTCTAAAACATTATATTTTCTATATTTTTCCACAGCATAGTGCTATCACTATGAAAAAGGCCATTCTGATTTAAAAAGTAAATTTGCCTTATCTCATATACTCCAACTACTGGCTACATGTCTACTATATAGCTGTAAGGAAATGGCAGTACTTAAGATACTTAAGACCGTGAGATTGGGATGTCCAGAACCACCCTTCTCAGAATCTTAAAAGTACAACAGATGCACCACATACAGCCTACAGTTTGCATATGCAGAACCCAAAAGAGAAGAGTGTCTTCCTCTATTGCTCTCCTATTCTCTTAAGACAGGTCTCTTACTGAATCTAGTTGGTTCAGCTAGACCAACTAGCTAGTGAGCTCCCAGGATCTGCCTGTCTGCCCTGCAGTGCTGGGCTTACAGGCATGTGTGGCCATGTCCAAATGACTTGTATGTATGTTTTCAGGGCTAACCAATTTTGGACGCCTGGGGAGATTGAGGGTGAAAAACTAACTCCAGAGAGATTACAGAAAACTCTGGTTTTCTGGTTTGTTTACATGAATTCTGGGTGTTCAAATTCACATAACCATACTTGAAGAGCAAGAGTTCTTACTGAGCCATACAGTTCACCCATACCTATTGTTGCTGTATTATTTACTCTCAAGTATAAACCTGTTTTTGTAAAGTACCTTCACATGTACTATACTAGTTTAATCTTCCCTCAGTGAATAAATCAATGAAGACATAATGCTAGTAACTCAATTACTAAAATTGCACTGGAAACCTGTGTGAGGAAGGTATCAGATAGCAAGTCTCTGGCAGCCTCTCAGACAACTGATATTTTCTGCTTTTGTCCACTGCTTCACTGAGCACTTACTATGTGTCAGATACCATGGGTTTTTTAATATCTTATTTAATCTCTGCATCCCTTTAAAGCAGTAGTCTTATTCTCATACATATGAGGACAGTATGGCTTGAAAAATTCAGTAAACTTCCAAGGCTTACAAAACTTGGAAATGGCTAAGTAGAACTTGACACTGGGCATCTGGCTTAGGAGTTCACAATCTTAACCACCTCTTGGGAAGGAGGAATGTGAAGCTTCTAAGTACAGCCTTGTGAGTCCCTGTCCTCTGACATGATCTCAATCCCACTTGCTACTACATCAGTGTTTTAAATTCTTTATTTTGAGATCATAGTTGCATCATTTCCCCTTCCCTTTCCTCCCTCAAACCCTCCTTTCTCTTCTTTAAACTCATGGCCTTTTCCTCATTAATGTTGTTACATTTGTGTGTGTGGTGGGGCAGGTGCTGTCTTAAATATGTAAACACAACCTGCTCAGTCATACAAATGACTTGTATGTATGTTTTCAGGGCTAACCAATTTTGGACGCCTAGGGAGATTGAGGATGAAAAACTAACTCCAGAGAGATTACAGAAAACTCTGGTTTTTCAAATATACACGGAATATGTGTGTCATTTAACAGTGCTCACAGCAAATCAACCACCTCCAGGCAAAACCGAGGAGGAAAGATGTTAGCAAATGAAAACTCTGATGCAAGTCAAATCTGATCCCACTGGAACAAGAACAACAAATACTTAGCTAAACCTTGGATATAAAAAACAAAACAAACACTTGAGAGACTGAAAATATAGAACCATTCTGCACCAGCTGCATAGTCTGCAGACTTTGCTCATCTTGTGAGTGGCCCCCAACAGCGTTTATAGTGTCTCTCTGTTAAGACTCTTGTAAATTAATTAATTTTTTAAAAGTCTCCTGCCTACAGGCTACATCAAGCTTCCAATTTCTTAGTTAAATTGAGATAGTTCTTGGGTAGAGGAAACACTTTACTGTTTGTTTCTAGAATTGAGTAAACAAAGGAGTTCATCTAGACCCTATCAGATGACTAGACAAGTTCTGCATTCTACCTGGCCCATTGAAGTAAGGGAGATTTACATTCTGTTTATCCTGTGTCCCCTCAATTGAAAGAGTAACAGACTGTTGGAAGCTCTAGGCAATGAGGCAGTCCCGGCAGCTTTTAAATGGCAGTGTCAGAAACAGAACCTTGCACAACTACAAAGAAAATAAAAAATTCAAGTTTTAAGACAATTGTGTTTTCTTCCCTTAGTTTATTGGGAAATGTTTCTCTTGCTCTCTTTCTCTGATTCTTCCTTAGCTTTTTGTATGTTCATAACAAATATACACACTCTGTAAGTAACAGGAACAGTGACAAAAGATGAAAACAGCCATTAATGTTACCACTATGTCCTACTGTCTGCTATTTATCACCCTAGATATGATTTTATATTACATCATGTTTTGGGGGAGGTGACTGTGCACATACCACAGTGTACTTGTGGACGTCTGGAGGACACTTTATGGGAATTGATTTTCTGCTTCCACCATGTAGGTCCCAGGGATCAAACTCAGGTTGTCAAGCTTGGCAACAAGTATCTTTACCTGTTGAGCCATCTTAACTGGCCCTGATTTTTGCTTTTGTTTCTGTTGCTCAATCAGTCCCAGACACCTGCTCCTAGATGTAAGTACAAACAAACTAAAACTCAGTGCTCAAACAATGTATGTGCACACACATTCACAGCAGCAGCATCGCTAGCAAGAGCTAAGGTACAATTAAATACTAGCTGAAGATACCCATGGGGTTCTTTTGGAAATATTAATGTAGGACATGTAAAATCTCCAAGGCTGATAAGATTGCAAGGAATAGAGAAAAAATTAGTTTGAAAGGGGATGACAGTTTTCATAAAAAGCAGAGGCTCACATGAGAACATGGCACAAAGAGCTTCTGATCAATTTAGTGACCTATTATGTTGGCAAGCACATAGCTGGTCCAACTCAAAGACCACCAAGGCGTTACTAAAAATCTATGAATACAGTCCTGCCCTCAAGGAATTCAATATGAAGGCCAAATGACTCAGCATGTCCACTTCTGTTTGTCTATTCCAATAAGAACACTGGACCATTCAATGACCTACATGTGACTGTGCATAGTAGCAAAACAGCCAAAAAGTAAAAGCAGTCTAATGTCTTTCTGTTGGTGAACAGGAAAACATACAACAGAATTATTATAAATGGCCATTAAAAGTAAAGTACAGATGCATTCCATAAATATACATAAGCCTCAAGAACACGCTAAAAGAATGTAGACACATATATGATTTTTTTAGATGCCCAGAAAAGACAAATCTATACAGCCAGACAGCTCATCAGTGGTTGCCTATGGCTAGAGATAGCCTCAGGACCCAATGTATGTGAGTTAGTGAAGATTTTAGAGATGGTGGAGTGTTCTAAAACTTATTACAGTGATGACTGCATAGCTTGGTGAATTTAATATAATCCCCAAATTCTACTTCATCAGAAATTACAAAAAACCTGTGGGCTAGTATCTCTTATGAACACAGATGGCAAAATTCTAAACAAAAACTTGGCAATAAAGGAAGAGTACATCATAACCAATAGGTTAACCCACAAATGAGTGTTACATTAACGTTAAAAGTCTATCAGGACTGGTTAGATGGCTCAGGACAAAAAGGTACTTGGCACTAACCTTGACCGTCTGAGTTCCAAGCATGGGACATATATAGTAGGAGAGAACCAATTCCAGCAAGTTCTACACATGCTAACAATGGTGTGCACATATGCACAAACACACACAAATAAATGTGGAAAAAAGTAATTCACAGTGGTATAAAATTAAAAGAGAAAACAATGTGGTGAAATAGATATCAAACACTTTATGAAATGCCACATCTCCTGATCTTTTTTTTTTTAAGACACTCAGTGAATATAAAGCCCTCAAGCTTCTGAAAGGCACCTATCAAAAGGTGTCTGGCAGCCATGCTCAATGGAAAAAGAAAACCTTTCCTCTTAAGTAACAAAATGTATACATCTACTTTTACTACTTCCATTCAAATATCTTATGAGGTCTGAGGACTCTGTAATAAGATAAGAAAAAGAAAGAAGATAGTTAATCAGAAAGAAAAACAAAGTTATTTGTAAGTATAATCACGATATCTTAAATGATTCTCTTAAATTTCAAACAGTTGAAGAGATTTGTCATCTAACCTATTCTTAGGTAGATATCCAAAAAATTGAAAACATCTGCCCAAATAAGCACGTTTTTCACCCTCAACTGCCCTGGGAGTCCAAGCATTCTGCTTAGGATGTAGGCTTTTACACTAGAGTGACAGGGATGTCTTGAAATCAGGCAGAAATGGCTGTTAGGTAACACTGGCAACGTTGTCTGATTTTGAATGGTTTACTTTGTTATATGACTTTCAGCTCAAGGAACATTAGTTGTTGTTGTTGTTTTTTCTTTTAAGTTACTATGAGTAATGATGGTTGAGGAGGGCCACAGGATACAATATGCTAACAACCAACTTTCCTACAATTGCAAAAGCCAGTCATTCCAACAGAGAGCATTTGGTCTGCAAAGTCAAAAATATCACCATCTTTACTGACTCTTAGAACATCAGATGGATATAAAAAGTAAGTTTATATCTATGCTATGATAATCAAGGTGGTGTACA